TATTAAATACTGTGATATATTGAATGGAAGTTTGAATAAAACTAACTAAACTTTATTTGGAGTGTTTCATTTCACACCATTTTCAGTGATATATATTAGAAACATAAGATACAGGTACAGGTATTATAAACTGATAAGCTAATGTTATTATGAACATTAATATGCTCAATAATTCGTTTTTCGAAGAGGATTTAATATTTTGAATAAATTTTATATAATATAATTTTTGTAATCTAATTCTATCATGATCAATAAAGTTAATGTAGTTATAACTCTGGCCATTTTAAATAGACTAATCTATGGTTTTTCACTCATTTCAATCATGTCAAAAATATTAACATTTTTCAATCACTTTAATCTGTATTATTATTTAAAGTCTTAATTAGATCATTTGAATTAATATACCTTGTATATTGGTCAGTTTTACTTAACTATAACTTATAAAAAAAATAAGTTTTAAATTGTGTTATTTTCTTCTTTTCGAATATCTTTATCAATACTAATATATCTTTATTTTGATTCGCGTAATTATTACATTAATTACATTAATATTCCTATCATATTGACGCTACCATCTCCTACCTTACTTTACACTACCCTACGCTAACCTAATACTTATCTACGTTAAGAACTAATACTCTTACCTTGCTTACCTCTACCACGTCTCGAACCTGCTACCACGTCCTCTCCAGTGACTCCCACCTCCTAACGCGCGACGCCACGACGATCACATTAGTAAACCGTTGCAAAGTAGATGATATTGTATATTTTAAACGAAAATAAACTAACAGGTCATATGGCCAAAAAAAAGTTGGTTTTATGTGGCCTGTGTTGGCGTAATGGATAGATTGATGGATTTGTATCTTAAAGGTACCGAGTTCGAATCATACCTCAGGACAAAAAAGAGTATTGTTCACGTTGTGGTATTTATTTAGTGTTGAACAACACAAAATTAATATTTAGATATAACAAACTAACAAGTCATGAGGCGGAAAGAAAGCAGAATCGATGTGGCCTGTGCTGGCGTAATTGGTAGAGCGATGGATTCGTACCCAAAGAGTGTCGAGTTCGAACCATACCTCGGGACAAAAAATGGAAAGCGTGGAATTTATTATTTATTGTAAGATAGCACAAAGATAAAAATTGGATTTAATAAACTAACAGGTCATGAGGCCGAAAAAAAGCAGAATCGATGTGGCCTGTGTTGGCGTATTGCTAGCGTGCTAGCTTCATGCCAACAGGGTACCGAGTTCGATTCATACCTCCGGACACAAAACGCAAAATAGCGTGACTGTTGACGCTGTGGAACGAGGTATGCACGGAATCACATCCGTTCGAATTTGAGACCCCAGGTATGCTCCCCTCGATCTCGATTGAGAGGAGAGATACGCGCGAGAATCCCGTATCATCCCCTAATGAACCCCGCAGCAGCCCCGAAAAGGGGCGAGGGGGGATTATAGGGGGGTGTGGGGTTCACGAACCCGCGACCCTGTGGTCCCGCCCTCGAAAAAGGGAGAGGGGGGACTATAGGGGGGTGAGGGTTCCGCGCGACGACCACTACTGGGTCGCGCCGGTTGAAAAGCTGGGTGCGTCACAGGTTGGGTCGGTGTGCGAGTCCCCGGAGCACCCTCGAGAGCAATGATGGGGATGTGGGGTGAGGAAAATGCGGTGACGAGGGAAAAAGGGGTGGAAAGATATGAGGAGGGAGAGATAAGGGTGGTGGGAGAGAGATAAGGGGGGAAGAGAGATAGGGGAGAGAGATAAGGGGAGGGAGAGAGATAAGGGGAGGGGGAGAGATAAGGGGAGGGATAAGAGAGGGGGAGAGGTAGGAGGGAGGGCTGCTGCGGGCGGATGGATGAGGAAAACAAGCGATATGGAAGACTAAACGCATTTTACAAAGACACCAATGTTTTACGTCCGCGCCCGTCGCTCCATCCCTCCCTCCGTCTCTCTCCCCCTCTCTCATCTCTCTCCCCTATCTGTCTCCCTCCCCTTATCTCTCTCCCCCTATCTCTTTCCCTCCCCTCATCTCTCCCCCTATCTCTCTCCCACCATCCCTATCTCTCCCTCCTCATATCTTTCCACCCCTTTTTCCCTCGTCACCGCATTTTACTCACCCCACATCCCCATCATCGCTCTCGAGGGTGCTCCGGGGACTCGCACACCGACCCAACCTGTGACGCACCCAGCTTTTCAACCGGCGCGACCCAGTGGTGGTCGTCGCGCGGAACCCTCACCCCCCTATAGTCCCCCCTCTCCCTTTTTCGAGGGCGGGACCACAGGGTCGCGGGTTCGTGAACCCCACACCCCCCTATAATCCCCCCTCGCCCCTTTTCGGGGCTGCTGCGGGGTTCATTAGGGGATGATACGGGATTCTCGCGCGTATCTCTCCTCTCAATCGAGATCGAGGGGAGCATACCTGGGGTCTCAAATTCGAACGGATGTGATTCCGTGCATACCTCGTTCCACAGCGTCAACAGTCACGCTATTTTGCGTTTTGTGTCCGGAGGTATGAATCGAACTCGGTACCCTGTTGGCATGAAGCTAGCACGCTAGCAATACGCCAACACAGGCCACATCGATTCTGCTTTTTTTCGGCCTCATGACCTGTTAGTTTATTAAATCCAATTTTTATCTTTGTGCTATCTTACAATAAATAATAAATTCCACGCTTTCCATTTTTTGTCCCGAGGTATGGTTCGAACTCGACACTCTTTGGGTACGAATCCATCGCTCTACCAATTACGCCAGCACAGGCCACATCGATTCTACTTTCTTTCCGCCTCATGACTTGTTAGTTTGTTATATCTAAATATTAATTTTGTGTTGTTCAACACTAAATAAATACCACAACGTGAACAATACTCTTTTTTGTCCTGAGGTATGATTCGAACTCGGTACCTTTTAGGTACGGAGTCATCACTTTACCAACTACGCCAACACAGGCCATACGAATCGAACTTTTTTTGGCCATATGACATGTTAGTTTTTTTTCGTTTAAAATATACAATATCAGCTACGTTGTAACAGTTTAATAATGTGATCGTCGTGGCGTTGCGCGTTAGGAGGTGGGAGTCGCTGGAGAGAAGAGGGTAGCAGGTTCGAGACGTGGTAAAGGTAAGCAAAGTAATAGTATTAGTTCTTAACGTAGGTAAGTATTAGGTTAAGGTAGTGTAAAGTTAAGGTAAGGTAGTGTAAAGTAAGGTAGGAGATGGTTGCGTCAATATGGTAGGAATATTAATGTATTTAGTGTAATAATTACGCGCGTAAAAATGAGGATATATTAATAATGAAGAAGATATTCTTGCGCAAAAGAAGAAAATATCACGAGACTGAGAACTTATTTTTTTTTTATAAGTTAAAGTTAAGTAATTTTTTTTATAAGTTATAGTTAAGTAATTTTTTTTATAAGTTATAGTTAAGTAAAACTGACCAATATTCAAAGTATATTAATTAAAATGAACTAATTAAGACTTAAAATGACGAGCAGAGCCCGCGAGCGATTGCAAGGCCAAAAGTGAATATTACGGGCATAGCCCATGTACGATATTCGGGAAAGAAGCAAATCCTTCGCATTTCGGGCATGGTGAATGCAAGTTATAAAATATTTTTTATACGAAACTATAAAACACAAAATTATATTTATTTTTGTGATATACCTATGAGAGAAAATAGTCACAACGCCGCGCCAGTTTGAACAACTTTGGGCCGACATTTTGGAATCTAAATTGTAAGTTAAGGGGTTAAATAATAATATAAAGTTTTTTTTTAACTCGTTTTATTTAGCAATCAGAAATACATAGATTCCTTTGAGCTAAAATGACAATGCTTAAGATCAATGCCTAAGAATAGCTCCAATGAGATCTTAGTTTAACAATTACTATAATAATATTATATTAGACCTAATCTAAGATTAAGTCTAAAGGCCATTGTCGTTTCAATCTTCTTGTACCATAAGGTTTAGTAATTTCAACTATAGATGGGTTAAATATAGATTAAAGTGATTGAAAAATGTTAATATTTTTGACATGTTTAAAATGAGTGAAAAACCATAGATTAGTCTATTTAAAATGACCAAAGTTATAACTACATTAACTTTATTGATCATGATATAATTAGATTACAAAAATTATAATATATGAAATTTATTCAAAATATTAAATCCTTTCCGACGAACGAATTAATGAGTATATTAATGTTTATGATAACATTAGCTTATCAGTTTAAATATCTGTACCTGTACGGTGTTTCTAATATATATCACTGAAAATGGTGGGAAATGAAACACTCCAAATAAAGTTCAGTTAGTTTTATTCAAAACTCTTAATGTAACACAGTATTTAATAATACAATTATATTAATTTATTATTACAACTGCAGTAATGAAAATGGCTAAAATACATTAATATTTGTCTAATTGTATTATATATATTAAAGTATATATAATAATAATAACACAGTATGACATTAAATTAAGTGATATTTATAGCTAAGAAAAAGAGTGCACCATTTAAAGAAATAATAGAAAGTAAAATATTTAAACAAGAGGAAACATCGGTCGTCTGGCGTATTAAATGTTTAAGGCACTCGACTAACATAGGGGTTTGCAAAAAAAACAAAGTCTATTATCAACGCGTTTCTACCGAGTCAAAGCAATGACGCAGAGTTCTACCGAGTCAAAGCAAAGGTATAAAGAGCTTAACCAAGATGCGGCAAGATGGTTGCAAACACCCAAACAGTAAAGAAGCTGTTCTACACAATTGTCTACACTAAAAAGTGCATTCAATAAGTATCCCTATTAATAACACAAGAAATTTTTAAAATTTAGACATGTTTAAATATTTTTGTAATTTACGTTACAGCATAATGTAATTTGGCCGTAAAGTGGCTCATAATTAAATTAAAACAACAAATTAAATCAAATGCAATATATTTATTCATTATTTCATTAACATCTAAGCACTTAACTATTCAATAGATCACAATAGTAGATCACAGTAGGCATCTTCTTTGGTGACAAGACGGACGGACGGACAGCATAATTAGTAGATGAAATGATTGTTCTCACTCGTGAGCAACTTGAGAGTTTACCACTTGGGTTGAAGTTGTCGTTTACCCTATAAAAAATAATGAATTAGTAACAAGTTTCATAAAATATACTATAATAATAAATTACCTGATTAATCATTCACCCCCGTCTTCCAAGCAACCTCAGTAAAATCTTCATAGTAAAACTCAACAAGTGGTATTTATAATAACTGCTTAAGTTAGTGAGGTTAGTCATGTTATTGAGTTAATAAGAGTTAAGTTAATCATGCATAATTACAGGCAGTTATTAAAAAAAAACACTTGCGAGTCATTCACATGTTAGAGCTTCAGGGCAGTAATAGTTGGATCGAGAAGACCTGCAAAAAAGAAAGAAACATTTTAGGAATGTTTCCATTTATGCTGGTATGGATAAACACATACCTGGTAAAATGTTTCTGGAAAGATTCCTGGTGAAGTAGGGTGAGTGCAGAGCAGCATTAGATCCAAGGACCTGGAAAAAAAATAAACATGTTATTTATTGTTCACATTTATACTGATTATGGATAAAAACGTACTTTTTAAATTATTTTCAGAGCGATTCCTGGTGAAGGGGTCAGTGTACAGAGCAGCAGTGGTTGAAAGGACCTGAAAAAAAAATTACCATGTTATTTATTGTTCACATTTATACTGATTATGGATAAAAACGTACTTTTTAAATTATTTTCAGAGCAATTCCTGGTGAAGGGGTCAGTGTACAGAGCAGCAGTAGTTGAAAGGACTTGAAAAAAAAATAAACATGTAATTTATTGTTCACATTTATAGTGATTATGGATAAAAACGTACTTTTTTAATTATTTTCAGAGCGATTCCTGGTGAATGGGTCAGTGTGCAGAGCAGCAGTAGTTAAAAGGACCTGGAAAAAAAAACCATGTATTTATTGTTCACATTTATACTGATTATGGATAAAAATGTACTTTTTAAATTATTTTCAGAGCGATTCCTGGTGTAGGGGACAGTGTGCAGAGTAGCAGTGGTTTAAAGGATCTGAAAAAAATAAACATGTTATTTATTGTTCACATTTATACTGATTATGGATAAAAACGTACTTTTTAAATTATTTTCAGAGCGATTCCTGGTGAAGGGGTCAGTGTACAGAGCAGCAGTAGTTGAAAGGACCTGAAAAAAAAATTAACATATTATTTATTGTTCACATTTATACTGATTATGGATAAAAACGTACTTTTTAAATTATTTTCAGAGCGATTACTGGTGAAGGGGTCAGTGTGCAGAGCAGCATTAGATGCAAGGACCTGGAAAAATAATGAACATGTTATTTATTGTTCACATTTATACTGATTATGGATAAAAACGTACTTTTTAAATTATTTTCAGAGCGATTACTGGTGAAGGGGTCAGTGTGCAGAGCAGCATTAGATGCAAGGACCTGGAAAAAAAATAAACATGTTATTTATTGTTCACATTTATACTGATTATGGATAAAAACGTACTTTTTAAATTATTTTCAGAGCAATTCCTGGTGAAGGGGTCAGTGTACAGAGCAGCAGTAGTTGAAAGGACTTGAAAAAAAAATAAACATGTAATTTATTGTTCACATTTATAGTGATTATGGATAAAAACGTACTTTTTAAATTATTTTCAGAGCGATTCCTGGTGAATGGGTCAGTGTGCAGAGCAGCAGTAGTTAAAAGGACCTGGGAAAAAACCATGTCATTTATTGTTCACATTTATACTGATTATGGATAAAAATGTACTTTTTAAATTATTTTCAGAGCGATTCCTGGTGTAGGGGACAGTGTGCAGAGTAGCAGTGGTTTAAAGGATCTGAAAAAAATAAACATGTTATTTATTGTTCACATTTACACTGATTATGGATAAAAACGTACTTTTTAAATTATTTTCAGAGCGATTCCCGGTGAAGTGAGTCAGTGTTCAATTTTCACTCGATACTTGGCCATTCGATACTCAACAACTTGCTCGATATATCTTGTGGCCTCCATGTGATTTCATCTTGATGACCAGAAATATAATGTAGAAATTTACTAGCAGTTTAAGAATTGCACTTGGTTTTATATGAAATGCATTAACATGAATTGAAAACAGTTAAAATTAAAATTTAATGTAATATGTCAAATCCACATTGCATAATCTCAAATGATTCAAACGACCACATTATTTTTCAATAGTTGAATAGATTAGTGTATTAGTATTTGTTATTATTAATAATAAAACTACTGATGCAACCTAACTAATAAATTAACCCACATGCAAGACATATCGTGATCATTCGAATCATGAAATTCAATGCCTTAATGATTTTGAAAATTTCTAAAAGTTATAGTGACAACTAAAGTATCGATCAATTAATATCTTGAACAAAATCACCGCTTAATAAATCTATTCGTGCCAAATGCAATTCCAATAAATACCACATTCAGAGCGTCACAGTAACAATGTTCGCATAAAAACTAAAGTACTCTGGTAGCAGCAAACGCAAACCTACCCGCACCTGCAAAATACACAAATTATTATTGAATTTAGTTGATTATACATACATTATTAAATGTCATTGTTGATGCGTCACCAAAGCTGTCTTCGTGTGCAATGCAGCGCTCCAGCGAAGCATAGAATAGTCTTTATTTGCATCTTTATATTCATTCAAATTGTAACTATTCTTTGTCAATTTGTTGTTCAAATTGTAACTTTTTTTCAAGTAAAAGAAATAAAATTATGCATTTAAAACACAAAATGGCTTTCATCGAAAAGTAATTTTGCTTTAAAATTTTTGATGACATGATGATTGTGGTCCAATTTACACAATACTTCTGATCTATAAATTGAAGTGAATTAGCAGATGATAATGATGTAAATAAGACTTCAAATTAAACGATCCGTATAAATGTACTCATAGTAATTCTCAAAATGAATTAACAGTCATTTTTTACTTTCACAACTTTTTACTATTACTTTCGATTATTTCTTCTGCACAATGATAGGCAGCCACTCAATTGTGAACTCTTGCTCAGTCAACAAAATAATATGTAGTTTTATTTAACAGTGGGCACCAAATGATGCAAAATAAAATAATTAGTTAAAATATATCCGGCGTACGTCTTAGACAGTAGTACGACTTGAGCAAAAACTACATAAATCGAGCACACGTTTTCCAAAAAAAAAAAACAGAAATAAGGAAAGGTTTCAATTAAATCTAAAACATCTTAAAACTCGAAAACACGAAATGAAATCCGAGTGAATCCGCAAAGAGAAATATAATTAGCACAAGTGCAACGTACCATATGACGCTCGCAGGTCGCATGTTCTCCACAGGCAGCGAAGGGTCAGGCCCGCTCGTCCGTGTTCGACGACGTCTCGTTGTGTTCTTCCAGCAATCGCCACGATGAAAATGAACTCTTGCAATGACAAGACAACTCCCTCTCCCAACTCCTATAGTCGCAAAGCATAGATGTGCAAAAGACTTGTAGACGTGCGACTGCAGAGCGTGCACGTTCGCTCGGTCGAAGATGGCGTTTCAGAAACTCGAACGCCTCTTCTGTTTTGAAATCGAAACAACGTTCATTTGAATCTTCAAATTTAACAATAAGGGTTTTATAAATAAAATTCCATTCTTTTAATAAACTCTGTAAAAATTTACACTGCAATGAATTAGTCGTTGGTTATTGAAATAAATAAATTTTATTTTCTTTCACTAACCTGTGTTTTACAAGCCATTAAATATTATATAAATACAAACATACAATTTTTTTTCAAGTTTTAACTTAGACCAACATCACATTGTCTTAAAAAATGTATTTAATTTTGATTGACAATAAAAGTATGCAAAAAAAAAAAAAAGTTTTAACTTATTGGTTCACAATAAAATTACTAATGATGATACAAACTAGCCACCAAACATTTGTAAACTAACAAAGTTAGCGCAAAAGAGTCTTAATGTGTACTTATTGAGAGTAGAGTTGGTTAAATATTTTGAAATATAAAAAAATCAAACCTAGGCCAAAAGAAAAATATAAATTAATTCAAAAAATGTTTAATATTACATTTTTCTTTAAATTTTGTTTATTTTAAATAATCAAAATCAAATGACATTCTGTGAGAAAACACAAAATAAGCAATTTTGTTTGAATTATTTAGTGAAAACAAACCACTCCTTTGCAAAGTTGAAAAATAACTAGTTGGTTTGGTATTTAGCCTTGAGGCAAGTTACATGAACTTCCCGATATGAGTAAATAATCTACTTAATCAATAAAAAATAAATTAATTTATGCGTGAAAGTATTCCGGGTGGATTTATTACCCATAATTAAAAACGAACGAACACGTTAACTCGGATAATTTTCTAAAAGCAAATTTTTAAAAATCAACAATTTTTATATTTGAACCAGTTTCGGTAGGACGTTAATATTTTAGTATGTTCATTAAGACTAAGCACTGTATCGCTATACCAAGTAGATCATCTAATTTTAATTTTAACAAACGTCAAAGAACTACTCATTTTTTTGATGAATTTTTAAAATTAAACTACTTGTCGTAAGGCCGTAATATTTCAGTAAGTTCTATAAGACCATGATATATATCGCCAAAAAAATCCATAAAAATCGGCTTAATTTTTTTTTCAACAGTTAATTACAAGAAAACGGCTCGGTAGATTTTCACCTAAAACTAATCAGTATCATTCCCAAATAATATCTTTCAAACAGTTTTTGATTTTTTAAAATCGATTCGGTAGTATGAGCTTAAATGTGGACGAAAAGTTTAACACTTCTTTTCAAATTACAAAGAAACGGCTCGGCCGATCGCTGCACAAAACTGAGGAAAGATAATACACATTAAAATACATGGATTGGCTTTTAAATTTATGCAATCGGTTCACGCGTTTTTGAGCAAACGTCGATGAAAGTTCTAATTTTGACAAACGTCAAAAAAACGACGCTAATTTTTGCAAACTTTGACGAATTTTTAAAATTAAACTACTTGTCATAGGACCGTAATATTTTAGTATGATCTATAAGACATATTATATGATCTTTACCAAAAACTAATCAGGTCGATTCCCAACCAATATGTTTCGAACAGTTTTTGAATTTTCAAAATCGATTCAGAATTGCGGCCTAAAACGTGGACGGAAAATTTTTCACATCTCTGCGATTTACAAAAAAACGGCTCGGCCGATCGTCGTACAAAAAATTAGAAACGCTAGTCCTCATCGAGATACATCGAATAAAATTTAAATATTTGAAATCGGTCCAGCCGTTTTTAAGAAAACGTCGATTTACGGCAAAAAATCTGTTCACACACACACACACATACTTTTTCCAAATTTGGTCTCATTCGATTCAGAATGGCTTGAAATGTTGAGAAAACATAAAATTAGCAATTCGGATTTTTTGATGAAAACATAAACTTCTCCTTCGGGAAGTTAATTAAATGAATAACATATAATAATTACTATTTTTTACATTTTATGATTATTTTAATTGATCATTACAACTTTTACAAGTGTATTTCAATAATTAATTATTTTATAACTACTTAAGACTAATTTTATAATTAAATATATATTTTTCTGATTCTGATTAATTTAAATTTGGTTTTTAAAAAGTATGCGTGAAGGTAGTTGCGGCACCTACTACGCTATATAACTATGTTTATTTATCTATGGCTATGGAATATAATTTAATTGAGGTTAGGTTGATAGTGCTTAGTGCATAGAAATAGCCATATACCATATATTTATGACACTATATAAAAAATAAAACGTATATGATTTATATATGCCATATATATTCACAAATAATAGTATATTTGCCTAAACCATGTACCTGCCTAGTCGCATTCTAATTAACGAATTCAAACAAAATGTCAAAGTTCTAACTAATTTAGGTGCGTATTGAACTTTACATAATTGTACCGTCTTTATTATTACACACAATAATTAATTTATCAATTTAAAACTTATAGTTGCCCAAGTGAATACATTTTCAACAAAGCCTGAATTGAAAAGTTCGAATGAGGAGCTCCCAAATGTATTACAATCCAATAATGATAAAAAAGCAAGTACACCAGTTGATTACAGATTCATATATCCAGAATTTCTTCCGGATCCGAAAATTGAATGGCGTAATGCAGTTAGAGAGAAATTAGAAAGAAAAGATATGTTAAGCCGCAGGGCCCATATTGACATACCAGAGTTTTATGTCGGTCTGTATCTTTATGTGTATGCACATGCAATTTCATAACAGATGTACATTTTAAGTCTCAAATCATATGGGCAATGTGGCTCAAATTTATAATACTGCCCAACTTTTAAACTGCATTTCATGTTATAATATATCTATCTATCTATTGTTTAATTGTGTTATTAAATCTATTAGTGTGACGAATTGCTTAACATTAAATGGAGTATATCTTATAATTAATACAACAATAACTAATATAACTATTATAAAAAAGAATTTCTTACTAATGTTGTACTACTATTAATAATATAATTATATAATAAATTTAAGAATTTTGAAAAAAAGTTCAATTAAACTGTTGAAAAAATTACTACTACTAATACTAAAAATCTATAAACTGATAAATGAAATAATAAAAAATCTTTAGTAATTAGAAGGGCAAAATATTGTTACCTCAATGGTATCCTACTTTTGCGCAAGTAAAATCCATACTTTATCTTATCAATACAAACATTCACATTCCCTTTATAATTTTATCTGTACAGTATTAGTAATTACTTTCGCTATTTTACAATTATGTTAATTCTGCAGATTGACTCTCGTAATTATTATTTTAGGTACAATAATGGCAGTTACAACATCTGATGTTCATTCTGAAGGCAAAACAAGTCGTTTTGTAGGCATTTGTATAGATAGATCTGGTTGCGGCTTGCGATCGAAATTCATTTTAAGAAATGTTGTGGATCATCAAGGTTGTGAGGTAACTTTTTTTAAATATGCAAATCATATTTACTATGTTTATATCTAGATATTTAAAATAATGAAGTGTGCTCTTTGTAGGTGTTATATGAAATGTATGATCCTACTATTCAAAAAAATTGAAGTATTGAGATTGGAAAAACGACTTGATTCCAAATTATTTTACTTACGTGATGCTTTACCGGAATTTAGTACATTTCCTCTGGACATGGAAGCTGAAATTTTGCCAGAAGGAGCACCAATACCTGTGAATGAAATAAAGGTTAACATAAAAACATACTGAAACATAATCTCAGTTTACATATATATATATATATATATATATATATATATATATATAGTTTGTTTATTTATTTATCAGAATTTTTGGCATTTTCAGGTAAAATTGAAACCAAGACCTTGGTTAGAACGTTGGGAACGTCAAGATCTAAAAGGCATTCAACCTTTAGAATTGCCTAAAAAATTCTTTATCAAAGCCAAGGAAAGAAGCACACCTTGGGAAAAATATGATTTAATGAAGCAATACAGGTAAATAATTATAAAATTAATTATCTATTATATCCTTTATTATTAAATATTGTAATAACAATTCTTTTAATAACATATATTATATTCCTTATTATATAATATAATTTATTATAAAATTAATTATCTATTATATTTCTTATAATTAATTATTTTAATAACAATTTTTTTTAATATACATTATATTATGTGTGTGTGTGCATACAATTTCACTTTTTTATTATTATTTACAGAGCTACTATACCAGAAGAGGAACAAAATGTTATATATGCTGAAGTTTATTCTGAATTGCATCAATTAGAGTTAATGAGACGCAAACAAAAACGAAGGAGAATTTTTGTAAAGCCAGTGAAAGCAGCATAAAATTTATGATGTATTTTATTATTGATTTAGATTTTGAATAGAGCATGTATTATTTGCAAAAATATATATATATATTGTTTGCAAAATACATATCATTTGGGACTATTATTATTATTATTATTATTATAATGGTTATTTAATAAAATTAATTGTTGTTTAATAAAAGTGATAAATAAAACTGAACTTATAATACAGCATCTGAACTAAAATTCAACCATGCTTAATGTGAATTCAAAACTAATAAATAATTATAGAAGGTATCAAGTAATAATTGTGTTACTTTTATGTAACTTAACTAATTTAAAATTAGACATAAAATTTAAAGGAAGTGAATTCGAATTAAAAAATACAAAACAAATTTAGCGCCATGATTCTAAAACTTTGACAGTTTAAACGTCACTTTGACAGCTCAATTATCAATTAGTGAATGGTTTCGTAAACAGCAGCAACGTTTTATATTATTAAACTTAGCATTATTTTTTTTTTCTATTCTCATATGTTCTTTAAATAGTATATTTCACAAAATGATCTTTAAAGTATTATTTATATCATTACATATCATAGCATTGGATTGTTTCACCCACAGAAAACAATTACCCTCAAGTATGTTCTGGTTTTGATGGTAAAATAATTATATAAAATATGTAATGATACTAATTTCTTTATATGTTTTAAATATTAGCTTACTCTAAAGAAAATGAAACATGGACAGGCAAATGGTTTCCGGCGAAACCAGATTTTTTAAATGATAATTTTAGAAGTGCCGAGAAAAATATAACCATAGAAGTCACACCTCAAGTGGATGATGTTGTAGAAATATCAAGTTCATTTTGTGATGATGGTCAGGTAAATCAATCACACTCACACTCATACTCAGTATATACATACATACCTGTTCTTTAGAAAACATTAAGAAAATAAATCATTCTATGAGGAATCATTGTTTCAGACAAATTTAATAATGGATTGGGATGATGATCCAAGTGATTTCATATGCCTGACAACAGAACGTTATTCACCCAATTTTGAAAAACCACCATTACTTGAATTGTATAATGTACCGAAGGCATATAAACCTTATCCTGAATGCATGAATGTATCAATAACCTATGATGAAGATATTCCCACATTGTGAGTCTAAAAACATCATATGTGTTGTTAGTCTATGATTTTTTTATCAATCTACACAATGTTTTCAACTCTATTTTTTACAGTGGCAATCATAGAATTGTATGGCCAAAGTATGGAGAATATGAATACATTCCTCGGCAGAGATGGTTGCATACAGTAGAGCATGGCGGAATTGTCATGCTATATCATCCGTGTGCTGATGAACAACAGGTGATGATTCAAATCTTATTTAAATTTCAGACTTTAAAAATAACATTACTTACTACTATTATAGGTAAATAAACTACAAAGACTTGTACGAAAGTGCCTTTATCGCCACGTTATAACTCCATCAAGAATGTTATCACCAGAGATGCCCTTAGCTCTTATTTCTTGGGGTAGAAGGTTACAAATGTCGTTTGTTCAAAAGGAAACTATTGTTGATTTCATAAAATCAAATGCTTTAAAAGGCCTTGAGCATCCATCTAAGGATGGAGAGTATGCATATGGTTTATTGGAGAAAGCTGAGATCATAAGTGACTTTAGTGATAGTACATTATGTCCAGGTCTTTGATTATTAGTTATTTTCAAATATAATGCATAACCTATTACAGGATATTTACAAACAGATTACAGAATATTAATAAAATACGCCTGTTTTAAGTTGTATTAGATTCTGAAGCAATTCTAATTAGATTCTTGGACATCAAAAACAAATATCATTGATTGTTATAAATTATATAATAATTGTTATTTCAAATCTCCGCAATACATTCTATTTTTGCTTTCATTAAATATTTGCTTACTAGCTTTTTTTGAATTTAATAAAATATACATAACATTTTATTATTGATAGTATGTATGCAAGAATCTAATTAGAAACTGCACATGGAATGTAACATGTTATAAACTTATAGGACTAGCTTTTGCATGCATTGCCATCTCAATCTTTTTATTTTTATTTCAAATTATAATTTAATGCATTTGACTGTAAGACGCCGTTGATGCGTTATCTCGTAATTTATTTTTTTTCTAATTGGTATCTTATTTATTTCTGATTGGTATGGATTTTGTTTTAAAGTAAAAAAGCAATTTTGATATCAATATTAATTATAAAATATTATGACAAAAATATATAATTCAAAATGTACCTTTTAATATTGTGATATTTAAAAAATAGAGAATTTTGTTACCACTATTTGAAATATATAATAAAACTTTTTTATCATTTTGGTTGTTTCATTAAAAAAAAATTATATCATATATATACTAAGAAAATTAGATATGGTATATTTCTTCCCTAAATTGCAGAAATTTTTGATAATTAATCGTATCATGTGATATAAGATTTTAATATATATGTATATTTTATATTGCTTTTACAATCAACATCAAAATTTATAATTATTAACGCTATCAATATTTTTTTAGCTGTTAATTTAAAATTTGAAACGTTTAATAATCATACTATAAATTTATTAGTTACCTTATTTATGCCTTGTTTATGCGCATTTTGAATGGTGAGAAATTTTTTTCAATTTTGAAATTACTGGAGTAATTTAATAAATAGATGTATTTCATCAAATAAAATTATATTCCCACAAATTTATTCCATAATTCAAAGTAAAAAATAATTTAATCGGGTAAAATCTATTAGTTAACATACACGTTAACTTACGTGTTAACGTTCACGCCAATTTTAGCATTGCTTGCCATTTTCACAAAAAATATTAAAAGGTTTAAAATATTATTAAACTTTTGTATTATTTTAATTTAAAAGAAAACATAGGATTTTACTAACGTTCGGTAAAAATTGTCGGTGATCGAACGATCCGAATTTCCACTTTGCGGTAGATATTCAGATATTTCTAGAACCAATACTTTTCCGGATTCCAAATATTTGAAAAGTTTCTTATTTTTAATATTCATTCTAAAACAATATTTCAAGCGAAAGTATTTTTACAAATCAGAAATCGTACCGAATCAAATAGAATAAAATTTGTGTTCAAGCCTATTTAATTCAAATTTAATACACATTATAATTTAAATCGAATTTCATATATATTAATAAATTCAAATATTGTATTATTTTACGGTTGCATCTGTGATAGAGATCTGATATAATATATTCATCTACAAAATTCGGACCTGACGCTTTAAAGGCAAATATGAAAAAGAAATTTCCATTAATTCATAATTAAACTCTAAAAATACTACAAAGTATAAATATACATAAAGAACCTACATATTCTTTTAAAACTCGTGTTTTTTACTATTTTTTGTTCATACAAGATAAGATGTTACGAGTATACGTCTATAATTAGATGAAATATTTCCTTCAATATGGAACTGCAAATATTTAACGAAGCTGCAAACACTAAATATCATAAATTATTTACGGAATGAGATAAAAGGTAAAATCAGATGTTCTATATTAATAATTTTCACAAATTGAATTAATTTGTCGTTGTTGTTGGATATTGTATGTGCGAATATTTCATGTGTTTAAATATTGTTGAATGTTGATGGTTTGAATTTGATTCATTGGTGGTTATATTAATCGTTTTGTGAAGTGGAAATATGTCGGAAAATAAAGAAGAACTAATCCGACACAAATATGAATATCGGGCGCCGGAGGGCGGTTGGGGTTACATGATAGGCCTGGGAATGGCTTTATCATTTGTATGTTTGTTTCTTATTAATTTTACTACATTGGAATAAAATTATTAATTTTATTATGATTAGCAAAATATAACTCATAACTACAGGATCTACTGAATATTTATATAATAATAGTATAAGCCTTATACTGCAAGGTATAAATAAAATTTAATGCCAAAATTCTATAAATCTTTTAATGTAAAATGTAATGTATGTCTCTTATATGTAAAATGTAAGCACAAATGGTCATTAATAACAATTTCAGGAATTTTCCTGAGGTTCCCCGAACTAAAAAAAACTGTAAATAGCTATAAAACTAAAATGCTTATGTAAAGAACGTACGTTATGGATAGTATAAATTATACCTATAGTATAGTTAGAATTGATTAGATTAAAATGCTTAAAAACGGTTTTCATAATTCTTTCTTGAATAGTTCATATTACTATTTGATTATTGTCTAACTCACTTTTCTCTTTACTATAACCATAACGTATACTCGTAGTTAACTTTATGAACTTTTCCACATGGAAAGCTTTTGCTTTTTGTATAATTAAAAATTGTGCGAAAATTACTAACGTTAAAGTTTAATTCAATTTGCTGATAATGCTAAGATAAATTCTTTAATAATTTAATTTAATACATAATTAAGAAATCTGCAAATAAAAACAACCATGAATGAAGAAAATGCATTAAGCATAAAAAAATATAGTAATAAGAGGCTTGGGTCTAAATGTGTATGCGCAATTTATAGAATTATTTGAAAAGGATAAGTTTAAAGTAATAAAAAAGTAAACTAAATAATAGCTTCATGTGTTTATTTAAAAAATGAATTTACAAAATCTTAAAGTTTTCTCTTTTAATTTTACATGTTCTAATTTGTCTAAATTTGCAGATCGTTGCATTATGCCCGGTTCCTTCATTTGGTTTAATTTTTGGAGATTTCCTAGATAGCCTAGGAGAAAAAACTAGTGCCTTGACGCTATTAAATAGCGCATTTTTTAGCAGTTTAGCATTTTCAGGTAATAAATGTCGTATAGAAATTTGTCTTATATATTATGTACATAGTTAATACCATCTATTTTTAGGACTTTTAACCAATTCTTTATTCCAAAAATTCACATGCCGCCAGGTGGGCATTACTGGAGGGTTACTATTCTTTTTGGGAAGTGCCCTGACAGTTTTTGTCACATCAGTTGCACAAATGCTGTTTACATTTAGTATTATTCAAGGTGAGGATATATTTTGACGAATACTATTACTAGGATGTATTTACTGTGAAGCTGTAAAATACTCATAATTTGCTTGACATGAGAAAAGATAAATCGCTAAAAAAATTCAACAATTATTTATGAAGAAACTATTTATAAATGATATAGGAGAAGCCATATATCATATGTTATGATTTTTATTTTTGATTATTTTCAGGAATTGGATTCGGCCTAATGATTCCAGCCGCATTTACCACATTCAATGCATATTTCGTAGAAAGACGTGCAATGATAATGTCCGCATCCCAAACTTTAATAGGCGTAGGATCAATGGTATATCCATTATTAGTCCAGAAATTAATAGATAATTTTGGATTCCGTGGTATGCTACTGGTAATGGCAGCAATAAACGGACATGCCGTTTTAGGTATGGTTATGATGCAGCCCGTAGAATACCATCGAATAAAAGTATTGGTGCCCGTGGAGTTGGATAATTGTGAGTAAAATAAAAGTCAAGTAATAACTTGCAATATTATTCATAATTATATTATCCATGAGACTTATTAACTTCCCGTAGGGCAAGTTATAGTAATCGTAAAAAAATCGAAAATGAAAATTTTTATATATCTTTACGTTTCAAAGGTTTCTGAATATTTTGGCATACCTTAGAAAAAATGGATGTATGTGTGTGTGTGTGCGTGTAAGTATGTATGTGCAGATACAAATTTTCGTCGTCGATTTCGGGAACACCGATCAACCGATCTAAATAATTCAAAAAACATTCGATTCATATTGATAAAGAGACGTGCTGATTAGTTTTTGGCGAAGGCAGGTCTAGCCGTTCCGAAGATACGGGGCAAAAAGTGCCAAAAACGGTTACTCAGTTTTTAAGAGAAAGGAGCGTCCGATTTTAATAATTCAAATAACATTTTACTTGTATTGACAAGATAAAAAACTGTTCAAATTTCCATAAAGGCAGGTCTAGCGGTTTCGAAGATCTAATGAAAAAAGTAAAAAAAAATGCCATTTGGTGGTCAAAAATGATCATTAGACAGATGCACATCAAATTATCAGATATTTTATAGAGATTTTAACAATAAGTATAAATTTTGTTTGCATTCCTATGGGTTCCGTACCAATGATATTCGTTAGATGGCGACGCGGCGCTTACGCGCTTTGACATTTTGTCTCTATGCAGTTAAAGCAGTACGATTGCTTTGAAAAAAAAGTTCAGAATTTCCAAAATATGTCAAAATAAAAAGAACATTTTTTTTTCAAAAAAAGTAATTTTGGTCAAATTCTTAGTTTCTCAAAAATCTAATTTTTTCGAAGTATTTTTTTTTTTAAATGTTAATCGTTTTTAAAAAAATAATAATATTTGGTACGGGAAGTTCCAGCAATTTGCCTTAAGGCTAGATGCCATGCGCCCCACTAGTTTTTAACAAAATTATCATTCATACTAAAGCAATACACGACCAAGATGGCAAGACAACTTACTAACAAATCAATGTATTTCTAAATGTAGATAATATAAATATCCTGCTTTATTACTATGAATCTAGAATTTTATCCTTTTCGCATTTTATATAACGGGTTTACTTTCAAACCGTCAATATAAATTACATTCGACTATAGTAAATTTATCTCGTAACTAAAAAAAACATATTACTTAGTACGTTTTTTTGATTTTGATGAATTTTTTGAAAAGGGAAATCTTTAAAGTCAGTAAATAAAGTGCAAAGCATTTTATTCGTTGAACTTATACAATCAAACACATTTCTAGTACTTCTTTTCGTTTTATTATGTAATATTCACGTAACGATTTAATTCAAAATCTTGTAATTTATTAAAAGTATAATATATCAAATAGTAAATATAGTTGTCACACAATGTTTGATAAGAGTAAACATAGTTGGGAACTATATGGGAAAACTTCGTTATCTATTATTAAATATTAACGTCTAACATTTATCTAATTGTTAAACGTATAAGAATAGTATATCATTACCCAATTAAATTAAAATTTACTGCTGGAAACACTTCGTTTGATATTTTCATACAAAATGAAGGTAACAAAAAGATTTATAATTTTTTTCAGAGTAGGTTCAAAGTTCAACGCAAGTAGTTGTCGAATGATCTGTGTTTTTACTGAAAATAAATCATTACCACTTCTTAATAAATAATTATCATTTGTTGTACCACTACATATTTTCTAATGCTATAAAATATATTTTATTAAAGTGTGAACATCAACTGTAATCATCTACAAAACACAGAACATATGTGAGCTTTGGCATTGTTTCTGACTAGAATCGTTTAAACGCAAAGCTTGATGATTTTTTATAATTCAACCGCTTATCGAAGGCCTAAAATGTTTTAGTTTGTTATTTAAAATGTTAGTTCATACTTTCAAATCTATCGTTTTACAATATTTAGAGCAGGTTCGATGCAAGTTGCCGAATTATATCTGCCTTTACTGAAAATAGATCATCACCACCTTCTAATAAACAATTTCAATTTGTTGTACCACTACATATTTTATGATAACCTAATAGTATTACATTGTCAATAGTGGATCCAAACGGCAAACAATCTGAAGATCCAGCAAATGGAAAACCATCCAATGAAACTCCTCAACAATTACCGCGTAAGGAAAGTCATTCCCATGAACCTTTATTATTCCAAGGAAGAAAAAGCAGTAGACAACATAGTATTGTAAATAAACTACCACTGCACATAACAGATTCACCAAAAGCTAGGGATATAGAAGGCGTAACTCCAGTTAAGATGCTTCAATATGAAGAACATAGAATGAGAAGACGTGGATCTTCCATTTCTAGTTTAGGCAATTGGACTGGAGCAGTCATTGTCAGTGATAGTACTGCACCGGTAGAGAAGAAATCTAGGGGAAAATTGTAAGTATATATTTACGTAATAGATCAAGGTCCCGACATCAGGCAACTTTGATGTCAAATTTCCACTTGTGGTTATAGATCATAATATAACTACAAGTGGAAATCGTCCTTATAGACAGAGTTGCATCACTCAATCATATGTAAAACTATTAGACGTAAGAGCTAATATATAATAAATCCACACATATAATAGGAAAATGGTGAACATATGGGTTGCCTCTCATAATAATACCTTAGATCATAAACGTTGAACCAAACAGCTTATAGAACATATGAATAGTAAGAGTTTTGATTGCTGTTGTAACAATAATTAAGAAGCAAATATTATATCAAATCAATTTTGATTGATTATTTATCAAGAATACTCGGTTAATTCAAATATTTTAACATTGTTTTACTGTATTTTAGGCAAGTTATCGTTGACTTTTTGGATTTGACTTTGTTAAAAGACTGGATTTATGTAAATATGGTTATTGGAGTGACATTTGCACTATACTCCGACATAGCATTTTCTGCTATTCAAACAATGTATCTGTTTGCATTAGGCTGGTCAAAGGTAAGGCACAGAGTTGTAGATTTTTAATATTATTACACTACAGCAAAATATATTAAGAGTGAGTAGATAATTGAAAGCAATAGCAATCACTCGTAAATTAACTGTTATAGTAGTCAATAAATAATTGGGATTTGTCCAACTTCATTCATGAAGTAGTGACGCCAATATGTAAAAAGTTTTTACATAAACCAACTGGATTTTACTAAAAACCAACAATCATCCGCAGAAATTTTCATATATGACTAATTTCAAATTATTCTATGTGATTTAGACTGATACAGCAATTTGTGTATCTGCCGCAGCTGCTGCAGATTTGTCATCAAGGATGTTTTTGGCAGGAATGACTGCTTGTGTTAAAGTCAGCAGTAGAACAGTATTTTTAGCGGGAGCTTTATTCTCAGTTTTCGCACGTATAGGTAAAGTAGAAGTAAATTTATCATGAAACAGTTTAAACAATTTCCTAATTTTAGCAATTTCAAATTATTTTGTTTTATCATAGTGTTCTTGTACGTGACTGACTTTACAATGATGCTTATAATATCAAGTTTTTTGGGATTCTTCCGTACATGGATTCATGTGCCTTTACCTTTAGTATTTGCCGAATATTTTTCACAGGAGAGATTTCCTTCAGCATACGGACTGTTCATGTTCTTGCAAGGAATAATGACATTGGCTTTGGGTCCAATTGTTGGTAATTATATTTAGTTATAAAAGCTTCTCGATGAGTTCAGTGATATTTCATATTTCAATTATTCTCGAACATACAAGTCTAATTTTGAAAAATTTCAGGATTTATTCGAGATGCAACACACAGCTACATAATATGTTTCCATGCCTTGACTGTGTGTTTACTCATTTGCTGTATACCATGGCTTGCCGAGATGGCGTGGTTAAAAATGAAAAATAAGAAATAAATTTAAGAATTAAGTTAATATTAATGGAAAAATTATATATAGTTTATGTGAATTTTATCACACGTGTTATATATCTTTATAAAAGTAATTTATAAAGGATTGTCACAGAAAATATAAATGACAAAAAAAATGTTAACTATACTTGTAAGTAGCATTTTGCCTTAGGACAAGTTGCATAAACATTCCGATACATACACGTAACTAGTGGGGCGCATGGCATCGTGCCTTAAGGCAAATTGCTGGAACTTCCCGTACCAAATATTATTATTTTTTTTTTAAAAACATTTTTGAAAAAAAATTACTTCGAAGAAATTAGATTTTTGAGAAACTATAAATTTGACAAAAAATTACTTTTTTTTAAAAAAAATGTTTTCTTTATTTTGACATATTTTGGAAATTCTGAACTTTTTTTCAAAGCAATCATACTGCTTTAACTGCATAGAGACGATATGTCAAAGCGCGTAAGCGCCGCGTCGGCGGCTAACGGATAAACATTGGTACGGAACCCTTTGTTTTTACATTTTTTATTAGATCTCCAAAACCGCTACACCCGCCTTCATGAAAATTTTATCAATTCTTCATCTTGTCAATACAAGTACAAAATCGGACGCTCCGTTCTCTTAAAAACTGAGTTACCGTTTTTGGCACTTTTTGCCCCGTATCTTCGGAACGACTAGACCTGCCTCCGCCAAAAACTAATCAGCACGTCTCCTTATCAATACAAATCGAATGTTTTTTGAATTATTCAAATTGCTTCATCCGTGTTCCCGAAATCGTTGACGAAAATTTATATCAGCACACACCTACATACACGCACACACGCACACACATACATCCATTTTTTCTAAGGTATACCAAAATGTTCAGAAGGTGTTGAAACGTAAAGATATATGAAAATTTTCATTTTCAATTTTTTTGCGATTACTATAACTTTCCCTACGGGAAGTTAATAAATGTACACGCGTACTTTATTACGCGTAATAAAAAATTGAGATTCTACTATTTAGATAAAACATTCAACTGTTTATGAAATTAAGTGAATTTGTTTAACACATTATATTTCATATATTTTATTAAAGTGTGAATATAAAAAGTTACAAATGCTTTGGCAAAAATTCTGAATAGAATCATTTAAACGCAGGGCGTGGTTATTTTTTATAAATCAACCCCTTATTATAGGCCAAAAATACTTTAATATGTTATCCCATATTTTCAATTCTATCGGTATACAAAGTTTCATCTAAATCAAAAACTTATCAAGAATGTTAGAATAATAAGATTTTAAATTGACAAAATTTAAGAAAAAAACTAGATATTTTAACTACACGTTCAACAAACACTTGAATATATTTTACTTCTTATTTATTATTTTATGAAAAATAATTTAATCAATCCGAGAATTTGTATTACAGAAATAAAAAACTAAATAAAAAAAAGCATCTTGAGGTCCTAAATTCTTAAAAAAAAAAACAAACATTATTCTTGGAAATTGGTACATTTCGGCGATTGGATTAACAAATAAAGTAAAATAACAAGGTTGGACGTGAATTTTATAAAACTAAATATTAATAGTCTAGTCATTGTAGTAAGTTCATCTCGGGATTGTAAGCTGTAAGTCTGTAAATACCCTGAAAGTTGACTCAAAACCTAAATATGGCAGGGTGTACGTACCATATGTAGATTTGAGACAACTTTTAGGGTGCTATTTTAGGGTATTTACAGCTAGGTATCTCAAATTCCGAGATTCTTACCTAATTTAAGCTTAAATGACTGGACTATAAGTCTCATTGGTATCATTGCGCATTGTATTACATTAGTATGTATTTCCTGAATTTAATTATTAGAGCCAGAATACCCGATAAATGAGATAAATTGATCAAATGATCTCTCTTGATCCACTCTTGATAATTTCTTTTGTTGCACTACCAATATATCCACTAATACGAGCGCAGACGATATTTGTTCAAATTTGTCAAATACAAACTTACTTATACCCTTGTTAAGACCTAATAATTCTGATTTAATTCATTGAATTAATTTCAATTATTTATAACATGATTGACGCTGGTGGATCAAATTGTCGTATGTAATGCAATGTATTGTTTTGCGTACGCAAATAATCCTTGGCCCGTAAACAATATGACTTTCCTTTATTATATTCAGTGGGAACTTTGTCCACTTAGAGACAATGTGAGATATTAGCATATCATGGTAATTTGAATGCTTTTTTGTTTACCGATTAATTAAATTGAATGTAAAGTCACCGCTGTTATATAAAGCAGATAATCGTCCATCGTTATAAGAACTGTGAAGATAAAAGATTGCTAGTGGGGTGCATGGCATTGTACCTTAAGGCAAATTGCTGGAACTTCCCGTACCGTAATTAAAAACCTTGGTACAAAAAATCTCTATAAAATATCTAATAATTTGATGTGCATAAGTGCAATAAACATTTTTGACTGCCAAATTTAATTTTTTAAACTTATTTTTATTGAGAGTCCATAACCGCTGGACCTGCCTTCCCAAAAATTTAATCAGTTCTTCATCTTATCAATACAAGTAAAATGTTTTTTAAAATAATTAAAATCGTACGCCCCGTTCTCTTAAAAGCTGATTGTGAGTTACCGTTTTCGGCACTTTTTTACCCGTATCTTTGAAACTGCTAGACCTGCCGCCGCCAAAAACTAATCAGTGTGTCTCCTTATCAATACGTATAGAATGTTTTTAAAATTATTCAAATCGGTTATTCCATACTGTCGAAAATGTCGAGAACATTTGTTTGAACCATATATATGAACTTCAAAATTAAAAATCTTGGTACGGAACCCAATAAAATTTACACAAAATGTGTACACATTGTGAAAATGTCTACAGAATATCCGATAATTTGATGCTAAAAGACATCTTTTCAACTTACTTTTATTAGGAGTCCATAGCCGCTATACCTGCCTTTCCAAAAATTTAATCAGTTTTTAAAAACAGAGTTATTGTTTTTGGCACCTTTTGCCCCGTATAGACTTGCCTTGCCCCGTATAGATCGAATATATTAGACAAAGTGCAATTTTTCGATCGTACCATTTTAATCTAATTATTAGTTTCTAAGCTATTACAAATGCGGATCGAATATATATGAGCAACTTGAGAAACTATTCCTGAAAATTATCAGATGCTCCATAATTTAATTTTTGCATGAACTACAATAAACTTCAACAATACAAAATAAAGTATGTAAGTCGTGCAGGACAGCACGTACACAATCGTATAAAAAATGCAATAAAATTAGCAATTATAATCCGATACACATATCGCCATAATCACCATAAAATGTAATTGAGGCAGGCTGGCTTCCACCTACATACATGACAAACAGGAACTAAAATTTTAACATATTCGATGGTATAATGATGTCGAAAATATTTTATGGACAAACAAAAGCCGTACAAACACCCCGTACTTCAATTTTAATCAAGAACTGAATTTCGAGATTGATTCCTTGCTGAATTCAAATTTACATCCGAAATTAATGGAAACAGACCATCACTTGAAATCCCAAAATTTTGCAAGCATGATTTTACTTCCAGCAAACAAAGAAATCATACAATTAAATTCTAAGAGTCTAAGGTAAGACTTTACTACAATGTATCATAATATATCATCATAAGATCCTACCTAGCCAAGAGTGTACAATCGCCAAAACCAATCTACCTGTTAAACTGGAGGCACAAGAAAAAATGAAAAATTTCTTAACAAAAAGTTAATGGAATGTAGAGCCACAAGAATAAAGTACATTGTTGTTGAAAAGAAAATTAAGGTATTTTCTATTAAATTAAGTTTAGACCATAGACATGAATAATCTGGTAGATAGGATATTATCACACGTTATATAAAAACTCAAATAAACAATATCAATTTTTTTTATCCTAAATCAGGATGCTTTCATTGTACTGAGTGCAGCAAAATGATTTATTTTGCCAAGTATATATATATATATATATATATTATATATATATATTTATTTATTTATAAATGTTTATACGTCATAGGCTATGTGCAGTAAATTTATAATATTACACTATAATGTAATATTATAAATTTACTGCATAATAATCTTATAACTTAAAAATCTACTAATATAAGATATAATAGAATATACGTACACTTTATGCATAATACTTTAGCATCATAATCTAATAATTAATTACACATATTATTTTATTATATAGATGCACTTTAAAGTTTTAATTTTCTTTGTTAACTTCCCAAAAATTAGTATCGTTTTTTGGCATTTGTCAAAATTAGTACTTTGATCGACGTTTTCTCAAAAACGTCTGAACCGATTTCAGAAATTTAAAAGCCATTTGATGTATCTCAATGAGAGCTATCGTTTGTCAGTTTTGTGCGACGATCTGCCACGCTGTTTCTTTGTAATTTGGAAATACGTGTTAAACTTTTCGTCCACATTTAAGCTCATACTACCGAATCGATTTTAAAAAATCAAAAACTCTTCGAAAGATATTAGTTGGGAATGATGCTGATTAGTTTTAGGTGAAAATCTACCGAACGGTTTTCTTGAAATTTACTGTTAAACAAAAAGTTTAATCCGCACTTACTGAAATATTGCGGCCTTACGACAAGTAGTTTAAATTCAAAAATTCATCAATGTTTGAGAAAATGAGTAGATTTTTTTGACGTTTGTTAAAATTAAAATTACACGATTTACATGGTTTAACAATAGAGTACTTGGTCTTAATGAACATACTAAGCCTTTGAAGTACTACGGAAACTGGTTGAATTATAAAAATTAATAATTTTTTAAAATTTGCTTTTAGAAAATACTCCGAGTGTTAGTTCGTTTTTAATTATCTGCAATAGATACACTCGGAATACTTTTAATCACTCATAAATTAATTTATTTTTAATTGATGTAGTATGCAAAGTTTGACACGTACTTTTTTATTCAGTTTATCAAGTAATTGTTATATATATATATATATATATATATATATATACGAGGTGTGTTCAAAAAGTACCCGGAATTACTAATAATTAAATTTCGCGGGTCTGGAGTGTCTGATTGTCAAATTTTTTTTTTATTGTGTTGGTATACATGCCCCTAAAGTATGATGAAATTTTCAGCTATATTCACTGTTTACTTTGTCTGTGGTAGTCGCTAAGGTTCGACGTGTTTTTCTGAGCTCGGCGATTTTTACAATGGAAGAATTGAAAAGTCAAAGAATTTGTATTAAATTTTGCGTAAAAAATGAAATAAAGTGTTGCAAAGTGCAAAAATTCACCAGATATGGCTCCGTGTGACTTTTTCCTATTCCCAAAGTTGAAGAGACCCATGAAAGGACGGCGGTTTTCCTCGATTGAAGAAAATCGCTGAGAGTGCTCAAGGACATATCAAAAAGTGAATATCAAGGGTGCTTCGAAAATTGGAAAAAACGCTGGCATAAGTGTATTATATCTGGGGGGGACTACTTTGAAGGGGACCACATTAATGTAGACGAATAAATAAATATTTTTTTGAAAAAACGAAAATTCCGGGTACTTTTTGAACAGACCTCGTATATATATATATATTAATAATAAAGCAAGTCTTGTTAAATGTAGAACTAAAGCAATACTTTGCACCTTGAACTTGCTTATTGGAAACTTTAGAATTACTCAATTTCATTATGTAAGTTTGTTCACGAATTTATGAGAAAAGAGAATTGCATTGTACTATCACTTTCGAATTAAAATAAATTAACAATCGTTTTTGAATGAAATTTGATTATATGTCGGAAATTTATTTTACATGCTAGAATCAACTCACAGGTCAGTAAATTTAAATTGCAGATTCATTTCGCTCTTGTTGTCAATATTGTGTGAGGTTGAGTGCGAGTCCAGCCCACACAAGGTACTAATGATATTAAACTTTTAAAGAGTATAGTAGGCATGTCTTCAGAAAAGCTTTTTATAATAGGGTAGAGCGGAGCTTAGGAATCCGCGGGTAAAAAGGTCCACCACCGATATTTCAAAAACCAGTTAAAAATTTGTTACCAACAATATTTGAAAGTAGAGGGAAAAAGCATGCATAAACAAACACCACCTTGATATTTACGACATTGCTATCGGGAGAAAAACGGCAATGTTTAAAAATCCATGACAAAAGTATGTTCTTGCGTTGTTATTTATATTGTTGTTCGCTGTTGCAATTGTTGCTTAGTTTCACAGACTTGAATATAATTTAAGTATACGTTATTTGATTATTTTATAAGTTGTATTGTTAATTTTAAGTTAAACTGAAATATTTTATATAACCTTTATAAAAGCTTACGCTTGAATGGGGTAAAAAAGACCGAACCCAGGCATACCTATAATTCAAGAACAAATAATAGCGGTTAGCCAACAAATGTAAAAATTAAATCCAAATCCGCTTATGAAATACCGGGTCAAGGCTAATTACAGTGTTATTTTTTTAAACCTTATCTGCACCCATGAAATTTATATTTTGCATTGATTGAGTAATGTAGCTATTATTTTGTAAAAACTCTTTAAAATAAAAATGAAAAAATGGTCCTGTTTGCCCTCTGTTGGTCCCAACTTACTCTGGGTATGGGATAAAAAGGACCAAGTTGCAAATTTATGGAGAACAGCAAAAAATACATTTCTAGAGTGATGATTTAGATGGGAATTTTACTAAACATAGTCATATAGTTGTTTGTTTGATATGCGTTTTTTGTTATGATATAATTGTTTCACAATATAATTGCTCAAAGTCAATTTGGACCTTTGTTTCCGCCCTACCCTATCAAACTACTATGGAATGTTGAAATAAATTACTTAAGTTTTATTTGTTAAAGTATGTTCAGAAAACATCAGAAAGACGACATATTGTCAAAATCATAAGTGGTAAATCCTAGGTCCATTAAAAACGTCATAAATTTAGATTTTATCGTGTCCCAGAAACTATTAATAATGAATTCAATGCATGATAAAATATGACTAATCAAGAAGTGCGATCACTTATACATCAGAATGCAGGTTAAATGCGGTCAAACAAAAAATTCGTCATTCACAAGTAATATACATATATATATATATATATATATATATATATATATATATATATATATATATATATCGCTTAGACACATAGGATTTCCGGATACTAGGGATCAAAATAAGGTACATTGCTGCAGAAACCATTCCGTTTTGCCTATTTAGAGTACCACAATCGCGTCCAAATGTATAACCCCCCACACCAACTTGCAAAGACCGATCCACCCATGCCTATCGTTCAACCCCTGGGACCTCCGCTTAGAGGTCTCCCATACAAAATTTGCAAAAAATCACGGTTTTTCGAATTTTTCTCAGCGAAAAATGATTTTTTTAAACAATTTTTTTTTCGATATTAATTCATACACACACAAAAAACTATTTCACAAAAAAAATATTACAATTTTTTGTTTCAATTTTTCCAATGCATTTTGTCTCTGCGTTTTTATGCTAGCTAGAAGCTGTTATGGCGCCGACATTAGAGAGATGTGCGAAATTTTCCAGACTTGAAACCAAAAAATACTTTAAGCAATAATTTATAAGTTTTACATATTTTTATTTACATATGTTATAAAATAAATCACTGATTTTTGTCATGTTGAAGTACCAAAAATGATGCAACTTTCGTTTAGGGACCTTTAAGGGGAGGTCCCAAGGGGTGAATCATGGACACGGGTTGATTTATCAAAATTTGACCCAATCTTTGGGTGAATGCACGGGACATCAGAATTCATTTTAAAGATATGGTTTCTTCGACAAAGTATCTTATTTTGATCTCTAGTATACGAAAATCAGCCTTAGCGACTTTTTTTTACTCATAAAAAATCGACCCACCCTAATATATATATATATATATATATATATATATATATATATATATATATAGCCAAATTTCTGGTTGAACGTTATTCTTATATTAGCAGCATTATTAGTCAAAATATATGCACAATAAATAATAATAAAAATTTTCACCAGAAGTTTTGAAAATCAAATCAAGAGAAATCAGTGCAGCAGTTTTTGAGTATACGTCGACCAAAGGTCAAATTTTATCCATATACCCAAACACACATACTTTTTCCAAAACTGATGCCAAAAGGTTTATTGTAATATATTTGATTTTCAACAAATTGAAGTAGTTATCAGAGTTGATAGCTCTTACCGCAAAAATCATTTCTGATTTCAAACTTTATTACAAAGAAGTCAAATAGGAATATTGTGCACAGCCACTTCTTACCATAAAAATATACATACAACAATGTAGAAAAAAGACAGATATGAAATTTAATCGAAAAATTTAAACTAAAAGGACATGAAAGTTATGACACATGCAATATGTTCCTCAAGTTGCATTTTGAACAAGTAACATCATCATGATCTTAATGATTTTGGATTTTAATGATCAAAATTGACTTAGTAATGCAGAGTCAAAGCGTTGTATTTATCACAATACAAAATATATAAAGTAAATTTTTATCTATTTCTTTTAACAAAAAAATTGAATTAGTCATTAGTGATGAGTCAAAAATCTAATTTCATACTAGTGAATAAATTCTGTTTCCTCTATTATTCTAGTATGTAGTGCAGTCAGACAATACTTAGCAATTGAAATTAAACTTGAATTAATTAATACAAACAAATCATAACAAATGTACTTGAACAAAGGACAAAATGTATAATGGAATAATTTTTGGTGTCATCAATTATCGTCAAATTACGCTCCTGTTCTCGCATATATAAATATTTTATTCGAACAACGTAATGAATTTATAATCCACCTTTAATCACAATTGCTCGATAAATACCCGTGCTAATAGAAGCGATAGTCAATCATTGATCGATCATCCATCAATGACGATCAGTATTGTAAACAAAAAAAAATCAAACGTGATCATTAAACAATATTAAGTACATCAGTATCCGCAATTTGTGCGGAGGATTTGTTTCAAGTGTAAAAATAATAGTTCAAAATGTCTATGATAATTGAAAGTACGACTTGGGGATGGGGTATGGGTTTGAGTTCAACGCCAATTTTGGCAGCACTATTAGTGGTTTCGGCAGTTTTATACGCTATCCATTACTACCAAATGCAAAGTAGACTGCGCAAGCTAGGAGATAAAATTCCTGGACCACCAACTGTACCATTCTTAGGAAATGCCTTAATGGCTTTGGGAAAATCTCCTCATGGTGAGTGAAAATTTATTATAAGGCTTTTATCCTTCTTAAATAGAGCATTAATGATCAAAAATATAGTAACAGCTTCAGAGCTTTTTTTCATCATTTTATCGTTGATTGACAATGTAAAGCTATGCGATTAAAATACTGGTAATTTACCAACCATTTCTTATAAAGTTTCAAAAATTTAATGTGAAATCATTGTTTTCTAAAAATATTATCAAATTGCATCTTTCGCTACTGATATGTTGCTACCTAAGAAAAGATATCATAGGTATACAAAATCGTGTTAACAAGATTGTTTATTAACATGTTTCATATTTCTGTTACAGAAGTGTTGCAGACTGCCCTCAAAATGTCTATGGATATAAAAGACTCTGTTGGCAGAGCATGGTTTGGCAATAAATTGATTGTTTTCTTGTGGCATCCTGATGATGTTGAAATTGTCTTAGGTAGTCATGTTCATATTGATAAATCAGATGAATACAGATTCTTCAAACCTTGGCTTGGAAACGGTCTACTCATCAGCACAGGTAATGAAAAAGAAACTGAATGATCATATAACATGGTCACATAACAAAAAAATATTAATGTCCATATTTATTGTTTCGCTCTCAGGAGAAAAGTGGAGAGCCCACAGAAAACTGATTGCCCCTGCCTTCCATCAAAATGTATTGAAGAGTTTCATTCGAGTATTCAATAATAACAGTCGGGCTGTTGTTCAAAGATTGCAGAAAGAAGTTGGCAAAGAATTCGATGTTCATGATCATTTAAGTCAGACCACAGTCGATATTTTATTGGGTAAGTTTTCTAAAAAAAAAAGAACATCCTAGATTTATATCGCTAATACACACCTGAAATCTTAAAACAAACTAAGATTACAATCGTCAAATTCTATTGATCTTTCTTTTATGATTAAAGTGTTATATAATAGTGTTATAATAGTTTGGAATTGCTCGTTGATTTCTAAGAAATAATAAGTATACAATTATATATGTTTCTTCATTTTTCAGAAACTGCTATGGGAATCAGCAGAAAAACACATGACCAATCTGGCTTTGACTATGCTATGGCTGTCATGAAGTAATAATTTTATTCTAACAAACTAGAATTATATAAAATGTTTTCAATATTATATTTATTTTCTTTATATCATAGGATGTGTGAAATTTTGCACTTGAGACATTACAAATTATGGTTACGATTTGATACAATTTTCAACTGGACTAACTTCGCAAAGAAACAAGAACAACTACTAGGCATTATTCACGGTTTAACTTCAAAAGTAAGTCATAGAAGATTTGGAATCAAATAAACAACATTATTTTATCAGTATCGGTATTTTGCCTTGAGGCAAGTTACATGCACTTCCCGATATGTCTAAATAATCGACTTAATCATAAAAAATAAATTAATTTATGAGAGATTAGAAGTATTCCGAGTGGATTTATTATATATAATTAAAAACGAACGAACACGTTAACTCGGAGTATTTTCTAAAAGCAAATTTTCAAAAATCAATGATTTTTATAATTGAACCAGTTTTCGTAGGTCTTTAATGGTTTAGTATGTTCATTAAGACCAAGTACTCTATGTTATACCAAGTAAATCGTCTAATTTTAATTTCAAACCTCAAAAAAAACTCCTCATTTTCTTAAACTTTAATGATTTTTTAAAATTAAACTACTTGTCGTAAGGCCGTAATATTTCAGTAAGCTCTTTAAGACCATGATATATAGCGCCAAAAAATGTTCCATAAAAATCGGCCTGAATTTTTTTTTTTCAACAGTTAATTACAAGCTCGGTAGATTTTCATCTAAAACTAATCAGTATCATTCTCAACCAATATCTTTCGAACAGTTTTTGAATTTTTAAAATCTATTCGGTAATATGCTTAAATGTGGACGAAAAGTAAGACTTTTTCCCAAATTACAAAGAAACGGCTTGGCCGATCGTCGCACAAAACTGAGAGACGATAATTCTCATTGAGATACATCAAATGGCTTTTAAATTTCTGAAATCGATTGAGGCGTTTTCGAGCAAACGTTTATTCGAGGCAAAAAAATCTGTTCACATACTCATCCATACACACACACATAATTTTTTCAAATTTGGTTTCATTCGATTCGGAATTGCTTGAAACGTCAAGAACACATAAAATTAACCAATCGGATTTTTTTATGAAATAAACTTTTCCTTCGGAAAGTTAAAATATCATTACTTTTTTCTGAAAGAGAATGTTTCATTTTACGCCTCTAATAAAAATTGATGATGGTGGTTTCAGGTATTAAAATTGAAAAAAGAAGAATTCATTCAAAACAGCATTGATGGAAAATATTCTCCAGACTATTTCAAAAAGATCACTGCAGAAACTGAAAGAGAAAATGCAAAAGAACTTAACACAAACCAACCAAAAACTGGATTACGTGACGATTTGGATGACATTGACGAAAACGATGTTGGTAAGTTGATAAAAAATAAATTCTGTCCTTTTGGCATTCATTTAATATTTTGATGCAGAGAATCCTAATATATGTTTCTTATAGGTGAAAAACGTCGTTTGGCTTTCTTGGACCTTATGATTGAATCTGCTCAAAACGGCGCTCCCATTACTGACAAGGAAATCAAAGAACAAGTTGATACTATTATGTTTGAGGTAAAATATATTTTTATAAGTTATGTTTCATATAAATCGTGACAAAATATTCTGATGATTTTTAATAATCGGTAGTTGATAAAGTCTCCGATCCTTTAAACTAGAAAATTGCCCTTAATGAAAATATCGCAAGATCATAAATCTGATTACATGCGGCATAAAAATGTATTCAAATATATTCTTTGAAAAAGCAACAGATTTGAATTTAGTCGAGCAAGGGTTAAAAAAAGTGCAAGTTAATTATCAAAACTTTTTAGAGCAATTCGAACACTTAATCATCGTTTTAAAAAATATTGTATGTAAATTTTATTCATGGTAAACTCCTTCACAAAAAGTATAATAATTCATTATCATACATTAACAATGCCATTCGGCGAACAAATAAGATCAAATGTCGCATATGCAGTTTAATAAAATTCATTAATTAAGAATTACAAAGTGCAAATGATTCTTCAGTTTTTGGTGACCTCTCTGTTTAATTATTACAAGTGTTTATGTTAATATATTCCTTGTTTTCGATATATAATTTTGCGGAATAAGAAGTATATCGGATTCAATACATTTCAGAAAGAAAAATAATTATAAATGTTTATGATATTATTCAAAAATGATTTTGATTAGGCGAATAGATAGTAACCAATCTGCAAAAATAGTTCAAATTAATTGATAGCTGTAACTTCTTCTAATTATTAAACTAAATACCCTTTAAGTTTTTGATGTTAATATCAAATCAATGTCAACTTTTAAAAATTTGATAATATTTTGCCAAATTCAACTTTTATTTGGGATCAAATAAAATATCTATTTTAAATCTGAGCAATTAAATAATTTGAACATTTCAACTTTAATAATTTTGGAAATAAAAGAAATTGGATCAATTTCTCTCTTCTTTATAGGGCCACGATACCACTGCCGCCGGATCAAGTTTCGTCATGTGCTTGTTAGGAATCCATAAAGACATCCAAGACAAAGTATACCAAGAAATCTATGATATATTTGGAGACTCCGATAGAGATTGCACTTTTGCTGACACCTTGCAATTGAAATATTTGGAAAGGGTTATTTTTGAATCTTTAAGGATGTACCCACCAGTACCAATCATTGCCAGGACACTTAAACAAGATGTTCCACTTAGTAAGTAAAAGACAAACTTCCAAACTCATTTGTGAATACTAAGAATTAGTTTCCTCTGAATGTACTTGCACTGAATTTTGCATGAATCTAAGTAATTTCTGCTGAAATTATCATGTTGCTTAATTTCATTTCAGAATCTAAGAATCTAGTTGTACCAGCAAATTGCACTGTAGTTATTCCCACACTCAAGATGCACCGTAACCCCGATATATTCCCAAATCCTGATGTATTCAATCCTGACAATTTCTTACCCGAAAACAGTTCATCCAGACATTACTACAGTTATATTCCATTCAGTGCTGGACCAAGAAGTTGTGTTGGTGAGTAACATACATTTATCTTCTCCAGTAAAACTATTTTTTAATCACGAAAACCTTTAAAAAATATTAATTTTGGATTTGGTTTTTGATATTTTCCCATATAATAAATTATTGAATGTAAGGATTGATACTTGTTCTAAATCTGATGTGCCAATAATACATTAGATAGATAGACTAGAAACACATCCCAAATGAATGGTTGTTCTATTAACTGCGGATTCTAGCATTATTCTATACAAATCTCCAATTTCTTCTATAGAAGTTATATTGCTTTCTTTTTTATTTAGTTAGTTTATTTATTTGTATTTCCTTCACAGGTCGTAAATACGCAATGTTGAAATTGAAGGTTTTGATCTCCACAATTTTGCGTAATTACCGCATTAAGTCAAATCTGACAGAAAAAGATTTCGTATTGCAAGGTGATATTATTCTAAAGAGGACTGATGGATTTAGGATTGAAATTGAACCAAGAACCACAAAAGTTTGTTGAATGTTGACTGACTCCTGCTGTTAAATTTATTTAGATAATATTAAAACTGTTAAATAATGTCTATGTATAGAAAAATGTTGAATTTTATAAATAATTAAATATTATAATATTTATTTTATATAAATGTATACAAATGTTTATATATGAATATAAATTAATATTTTGCATGTATTGTTGATGATGTATATTATATATAAATATAATACACGCTGACAATAATAAATTAACTTTTTAATCATTTCGAAGAAAATTTTACTTTCAGTTTTAATAATTAATTAATCGTTATATATTAATAAAAATGGTATAAATTTTATAAGTTTATATGATATCCATTATTTATTTTTTGACGAATTTATGGAATTTTCAGATTGATAACGTTCAGGTTCTGAACAAAAGTCCTAAAACAATATGGTCCTCCTAAAAATGGTTTAATTATGAAAATTATAATTAAAATTTGGAATAACAGGCCGTTTTAAAATTAATTTTTTTCATCACGATTATCTATAGTCTATACACATATCGGAAAGTTATTGCAACTTGATTTGGGAAAAATGCAACATAAGCTTAGTTATTTATTAGACTAGTAATATTTTTTAGCTGATTCAAATAAGTATAATAAATAATTTAATAAATAGCTAGGAGTAAGTGGCATTTTCCCTTTAAGGCAAGTTGCAAAAACTTCCCAAATACATTAATCAAATTCAAATTCAACGAGGAAAAGCTGGAATTGCATTGATTTTATTAGATTAAAATGTACTAATTAAATATGTGTTTTTTCGCTGTTTTTCAAGAAATTGTAATCTGGTCCTTCTTGTCCCTCAAGGGTCCAATGGTTCAATGTATTATTCTAATTTCAAAGGAATTTTACAAAATAAAAGCTACAGATACAAATTTTTGTCGACGATTTCGAGAACACGGTTCAAGCGATTTCAATTATTCAAAAAACAATTCGATTGCTGTTGATAAGAAGACGTGCTGATTTGTTTTTGGCATAGGCAGGTCTAGCCGTTACGAAGATACGGGCCAAAAAGTGTCACAAACGGTAACTAAGTTTTTAAGAGAACGGAGTGTCCGATTTTAATAATTCAAAAAAAAAATTACTTGATTTGACAAGATGAACAACTGATTAAATTTTCATAAAGGCAGGTCTAAAGGTTTCGGAGACCTAGTAAAAAAAGTAAAAAAAATGCCATTTGGCGGTGAAAAATGATTATTAGACAAATGCACATAAAATTATCAGATATTTTATAGAGATTTTAACAATAAGTATAAATTTTGTTTGCATTCCTATGGGTTCCGTACCAATGTTTGTCCGTTAGACGGCGTCGCAGTTAAAGCAGTACGATTGCTCTGAAAAAAAGTTCAGAACTTCCAAAATATTTCAAAATAAATAAAACTTTTTTTTTTCGAGAAGTCTTTTTCCCATAATTTTTTTTTTCAAAAATTTATAGTTTCTCAAAAATCTAATTTTTTCAAAAATGTTAATCCTTTTTAAAAAAAAATATTACGGCAAGTTCCAGCAATTTGCTGGAATGGTATTGTTGATGCCATGTGCCCCACTAATTAACTTCCCGTAGGGTAGAGGTGGGTCGTTGACGGTTTTGCCGTCAACGAAACGAAACGGTTATCGGGGTTTCGTCAACTAGTTAAATAACTAGTTATTTTTCAACTATAGTTATTTTTAACGATTCAACGCTGGCAACGTTAAGAAACTGATAGTTGAAATAACTGTTTCATTGAAAGTTGGTGAAATGAAGTTTGTTCTTATAAAAGTCATGTTGAGGTTGTCAACTGATTTGATGAATAAGAAGAGTAAATGTGAATTGTCACATTTATTACACACACACACACACACATATATATATATATATATATATATATCTTATTATTAATTAATAATAAATAATGGTTTAATTTAAAAAACTTAAATATTTTCATTACAGCAAAGCCGTATACTAAAACATTGAATTTACATGTTATATAAAAATAGCAATATAAAAATATATAGTTACATAAAAATGTTATAAAAAATAAAAAATCAATTTTCAGGTTTAGTTTAAAAAAATATTACAAGACAAATGCTATGAGAATTTTATGAAAAATATTAACCATTGAAAACTATAAAAAAGCAACTGATTTTCTAAAATTAAACGATTTGGCGCGTGTTGCAAGTTTCTAAAATATGTGCATATTATAAAATCTGCAATATTATAAAAGCAGTAGCCTAACAATAAGCGATTTTCATAGTATTAGTTGATCCTTTTTGAGGTCAGATACCTGCGTACGTTCGTTTTCGACAACGAACGAACTCCTATATAGTTGAATAAATAACTGGCCGCCATGTTTTCAACTGTTTCGAAACTAGTTGATTTTCAACTAGTTATTTCGTTGCGACGAAACGGTTAGTTAGTTAACGAAGAAGAAACGGTTGAAAATAACCGTTTGTTGATTCAACGCCCATCACTACCGTAGGGTAAGTTATTGTAGTGGGCCGAAAATCGGAATTGAAAATTTTTACATTTCTCGACGTTTTGAAAGTTTCTGAACATTTTGGCATACCACAGAAAAAATGGATGTGTGTGTGTGTGTGTATGTATGTATGGATACAAATTTCCAGTCACGTTTTCGGGCGCACGGATCAACCGATTTGAATGGTTCAAAAAACATTCGATTCCTATCGATAGGGAAAAGAGCTGATTAGTTTTGGCAAAAGCAGGTCCAGCTGTTTCGGGGATACGGAGCAAAGAGTGCAGAAAATAGAAATCGACTTTTTGAGAGAACGGAGTATCCGATTTGAATGATCTAAAAAACATTCAATTAGTAATGATTGGGAGAAGTGTTTATTAGTTTTTGGCAGAGGCAGGCCCAGCCATTTGAAAGATACGGAGCTAAATATGTGAAAAATGGCAGTTTTTGAGAGAACTAAGCGTCCGATTTGAATGATTCAAAGAACTTCCTGCTTGTCTTAACAAAATAATTGATTTTGGAAAAAAAATTTTTTGTTTCAATATTTTTTGTTTTTTTTTTAATTTTTTGTATATCGAAAATAATTCAGATTTTATTTTTAATTCTGACTATAGTTCTAATATACTTTAAACAATAATTTCAACTTTGCAATTCAGTTTATATAATTCTTATAAATATTAGACAATGTTACAATATTTATAATAATCTATTTCAGTAATTCCTCGAATTCACTAATTCAGTATTCCTCGAACATTTCGTTACGGTACGGGAAGTTCCAGCAATTTGCCTTAAGGCACGATGCCACTAGTTTTAAAATGTAACCGTCATATTATATCAATATTATTGACAAATGTCAAAAATGAAGCTGTCAGTTTGACAGATAACGTCCACGCTACAAAACGAAAACACCTAACCTTACCTTTTATACATAGTTTTATTCATTAATCATGTATAGTTTAAATAATATTTAGTATATATTTTTAATTTTAACAAAGTGACATACCATTTATATATAAAATATAAAAAATAATATAATAATTCTATTACCAAGAAGAAGATTGTGTGATAAGAACTACCATGTAGTACAAATCAAGTCTAATTTAGTTAGGAACAAGTCACAAATATCCGTATAGAAAATATGGAATCTAAGATAAATATTGACGATAATTCCAAGACCAAATCGAAATTTACAAAGTATTAAATTTTTTGGACTAGATTT